GACATGCATGCCTTTCAAGGTAATAAGAAAAAGACTGCCTTAAGACCTTAATTAAAAATAAGACACAAAATACTCTCATCGATTCCAAGAAGGAAAATCTAGTCTTAGTAAAGTCATAAAATGCATTAATAAGATGGCCAGGATAAAGCAGAAATGGCCAGGATAAGTGGATTGTGCCATCGTGGCCTATATGGTGCATGGCTCACCGGAGACATGGTGCATGGCTCACTGGAGACATGGTGCATGGCTCACTGGAGACATGGTGCATGGCTCACAGGAGACATGGTGCATGGCTCACTGGAGACATGGTGCATGGCTCACTGGAGACATGGTGCATGGCTCACAGGAGACATGGTGCATGGCTCACAGGAGACATGGTGCATGGCTCACAGGAGACATGGTGCATGGCTCACAGGAGACATGGTGCATGGCTCACAGGAGACATGGTGCATGGCTCACAGGAAACATGGTGCATGGCTCACTGGAGACATGGTGCATGGCTCACAGGAGACATGGTGCATGGCTCACAGGAGACATGGTGCATGGCTCACAGGAAACATGGTGCACACAATACAGGCTGAAGGCAGCTGAGGTCACCTCCAAGGGTTCAGGAGACGTGAGACCAACAGAAAGATGATAGTGTGAAGGGAAGTGTTTCATAAGGAACGTCCCTCGATCTAAAGTTGCTTCCCCCACAGGAGACTGTTGACACGATCCCACAGGAGACCGACAGCCCACAGGGCGGACGATGAGTCTGGGGCGTGGACTAAATCTCACACACCAGCCAGAAACGAAGCAGTTACGCAAGCACTTACGAACGTGAACATCTTTCCTCAATCTTTGACGGCTTTGGTTACATATATTAAACAGTTTACAGTCATGAGAATTTGCTAATTAACTGCTGTTATTGTTATAACAGCCTCCTGGTGCTTCGGAGCTCATTAACTGTTTAATAACTGTAAACGAAGCCGCCAAAGATTGAGAAAAGATGTACAGGTTCGTAAGTGCTTGCGTAACTGCTTCGTGAATCTGGCCCCAGAGGCGGAAGAAACGATGACGTTTCAGTCCATCGTGGGGTTATCAAGTCGATTGGGATTTCGACTTGATAATGGTCCAAAACTTGGGCTGAAACGTCGTTGTTTCTTGTGCTGCTACTGCTTGGTTTGGTCCTCGTCGACATAAGATGTTCAGAAGGAACTCTTTTTCAGTCTAAGAGTTGAAAATGAGTGGAATACCACTGTCGATACACAGGTTTAGATGTAAAGATAAGAAAAGCGAGATATAAAATTCCCTACATTGAACTAATGACAGGAAAAGCTCCCCACAGCGACTAAAGGAGGACCTGAAAGATAAAAGTCAAGAGTCACGGTGAGTAACTCTTGAGGGATGAAACATCAGGAGTGAGTAAATGTCAAAAGTGGGGTCCCCTCCCCCCCCCCCCACAAGGGTCAGTTCTGGGGCCCATTATTTTTTTTGGTACAAGTAAATAACCTACCAAGAGGGAGAGAGAGTCCTACTTCTTGATATTTGCAAATGATGCAAAACAACACCAACACCAATGATAAGAATATAGGACAACACCAAGAAACTATAGCACGATTAAGAATGTGAGTCAACCAAAATGGTTTTAAGAGTTCAACTTTGGTAAGTGCAAAGTAACGAAGATGATTGAAGGTGCGGAAAGGGAGGCTATCTGTCTTTTTTTTTTTTTTTTTACAGGTTTCTAACACGGTTTGACAGCTGGGTGGACAGCGCTTCGGATTCGTAGTCCTGAGGTTCTGGGTTCGATTCCCGGTGGAGGCGGAGACAAATGGGCAAAATGTTTCTTTCACCCTGATGCCCCTGTTACCTAACAGTAAATAGGTACCTGGGAGTTAGGCAGCTGCTACTGGTTGCTTCCTGGGGAGTGCGTAACAAAAAGGAGGCCTGGTCGAGGACCGGGCCGCGGGGAAACTAAGCCCCGAAATCATCTCAAGATAACCTCAAGATAACAGTAAATTTCAAGGAAGAACACATCACACCAAACTTGTTTCCACAAATTCACTCAAATCCAGTGAATCCTGAATCAAATGCATGATTCGTACATCACCTAATTCTGGATTAGCTGCTGCACGAGCCATGCATTGTACGAGCCATGCTCGTACAATGGCTCCATGTACGAGCCATGATTCTCAATAATAATATAATGTATTTTGGGAGCAGTCGTTCTTGTAGACATATGATATTGAATAGGATAGAAAGGGTTAGATAACTGTAGCACGAATCGTCTCTTATTGTTATTCACTTGAGAAGGAAGTTGAAAAATAAAGACGACGTTTCGATCCGTCCTGGGCCATTCTCAAGTCGATTGTGACATTCTCAAGTCACAATCGACTTGAGATTGGTCCAGCACGGAGCGAAACGTCGTCGTCCCTTAACCTTCTAGTGTGTGGTCTGGTCAACATACTTCAGCCACGTTATTGTGACTCATCGCCTGCATTTGAAAAATGAACTCTCCTAAGCTAATTTGTGCGTTCCGATTGGTTATGTGGAGAGTTCTTCATGGACAAGTTAGCGGTCTTCTTGCTCATGAGGTTAGTGTACGATATTATCAACTCCAGTTTGGCTGAAGTGATTCTTATCACTTCAGTGATAAGACTGAATCACTAGTGATTCTTTAGAACTTAGTTTCCTCAGATGAAATGATGTCCTCAATATATTCATCATTTTTGGGGATATATATATATATATATATATTATATGGGGACTACTGACAATTAGTTTCTTATTCTCGCTGCAAGTCTTAGCTGCAGCTTGAAGCACAGGAGACATTAATGGTGCTTTTGTAGGTACCTCGAACCTTACCTCCTCCTCCTCCTCTTGCCACAAGTTGTGCTTGCAAGGCGTCGTTAATGGTGACCCTTGTGTCTCAAGGTGGACCTCCAACTCCAGCTTACGAACCATCTCATTTAGTCTGGATATAACGTAACAGTTTATTCGCACATTGAAGAGATTGGCCCTTAGTGAGCTTAATTTCGGCAAGACTTTGAAAGCTGTCAAGAAGCCACAATGGGACCTTCAAAGATTTTTTTTTTTATTGGTCCTTGTTTTATTTTTTGTGGCTGTGTTGGATTGGTTGTTCGCAGTTGGATTGGTTGTTCGCTGTTGGATTGGTTGTTTGCTGTTGGATTGGTTGTTTGCTGTTGGATTGGTTGTTCGCAGTTGGATTGGTTGTTTGCAGTTGGATTGGTTGTTCGCAGTTGGATTGGTTGTTCGCAGTTGGATTGGTTGTTCGTAGTTGGATTGGTTGTTCGTAGTTGGATTGGTTGTTCGCAGTTGGATTGGTTGTTCGCAGTTGGATTGGTTGTTCGTAGTTGGATTGGTAGTTCGCAGTTGGATTGGTTGTTCGCAGTTGGATTGGTTGTTCGCAGTTGGATTGGTTGTTCGCAGTTGGATTGGTTGTTTGCTGTTGGATTGGTTGTTCGCAGTTGGATTGGTTGTTCGTAGTTGGATTGGTTGTTCGCAGTTGGATTGGTTGTTCGCAGTTGGATTGGTTGTTCGCAGTTGGATTGGTTGTTTGCTGTTGGATTGGTTGTTCGCAGTTGGATTGGTTGTTCGTAGTTGGATTGGTTGTTCGTAGTTGGATTGGTTGTTCGCAGTTGGATTGGTTGTTCGCAGTTGGATTGGTTGTTCGCAGTTGGATTGGTTGTTCGCAGTTGGATTGGTTGTTCGTAGTTGGATTGGTAGTTCGCAGTTGGATTGGTTGTTCGCAGTCGGTTGGTACTGTCAGGGAAATCGTCTTCGACCTTGTCAAGTGCCATGAAATATATATATATATATAATATATATAAATATAATATATATATATATATATATATATATATAATATATATATATATATATATATATATATATATATATATAATATATATATGTGCTTCAGCCTACAATTTAGACCTATTGTGTGGTGTCTGATCCTCTGTCCTGTGTGACAGTGAATACCAGCATTATCCTCATCTCTAACAAGTGAGGATAATGGATTCATCTCAACGTCTAATCTAATAAGATTAGACGTCGATATGTAAGTCTCGTCTTAAGCACACACTCAGACCTCGATAAAGCACTCAGGAGAGTACGAAAGACTTGGTGTAAATTCCCTATATAAATTTCACAAGTACCCAAGTGTGGGTGTTTATCATAAGACCTAATTGAATTACTCAGGTTAGGCAAAATTGTAATTAATTTTCTGTTAATTAAGATGTTAATTAACATAAATAACGGGTCATGCTAGAGGGCTGCGTTTTGGCAACATTGATCTCATTCTGAGTTGGTGATAGTGATCTGGTCTGAGTTGGTGATAGTGATATGGTCTGAGTTGGTGATAGTGATCTGGTCTGAGTTGGTGATAGTGATATGGTCTGAGTTGGTGATAGTGATCTGGTCTGAGTGGTGGTAGTGATCTGGTCTGAGTAGGTGATAGTGATCTGGTCTGAGTTGGTGATAGTGATCTGGTCTGAGTTGGTGATAGTGATCTGGTCTGAGTTGGGTGGTAGTGATCTGGTCTGAGTTGGTGATAGTGATCTGGTCGAGTTGGTGATAGTGATCTGGTCTGAGTTGGTGGTAGTGATCTGGTCTGAGTTGGTGATAGTGATCTGGTCCGAGTTGGTGATAGTGATCTGGTCTGAGTTGGTGATAGTGATCTGGTCTGAGTTGGTGATAGTGATCTGGTCTGAGTTGGTGATAGTGATCTGGTCTGAGTTGGTGATAGTGATCTGGTCTGAGTTGGTGATAGTGATCTGGTCTGAGTTGGTGATAGTGATCTGTCTGAGTTGGTGATAGTGATCTGGTCTGAGTTGGTGATAGTGATCTGGTCTGAGTTGGTGATAGTGATCTGGTCTGAGTTGGTGATAGTGATCTGGTCTGAGTTGATGATAGTGATCTGGTCTGAAATTTTCGCCACATTTTAAGGTAAACTTGCTGCTGGTAGTTTGTTCTAATATTTGTTTTATTCTTACAAGTAGAGGATACAAGCCGTGGCTACAAGCCGTGGCTACAAGCCGTGGCTACAAGCTGTGGCTACAAGCCGTGGCTACAAGCTGTGGCTACAAGCCGTGGCTACAAGCTGTGGCTACAAGCCGTGGCTACAAGCTGTGGCTACAAGCCGTGGCTACAAGCTGTGGCTACAAGCTGTGGCTACAAGCCGTGGCTACAAGCCGTGGCTACAAGCTGTGGCTACAAGCCGTGGATACAAGCCGTGGCTACAAGCCGTGGCTACAAGCCGTGGCTACAAGCTGTGGCTACAAGCTGTGGCTACAAGCCGTGGCTACAAGCTGTGGCTACAAGCTGTGGATACAAGCCGTGACTACAAGCCGTGGCTACAAGCCGTGGCTACAAGCCGTGGCTACAAGCTGTGGCTACAAGCTGTGGCTACAAGCTGTGGCTACAAGCCGTGGCTACAAGCCGTGGCTACAAGCCGTGGCTACAAGCTGTGGCTACAAGCTGTGGCTACAAGCTGTGGCTACAAGCTGTGGCTACAAGCCGTGGCTACAAGCTGTGGCTACAAGCTGTGGCTACAAGCCGTGGCTACAAGCTGTGGCTACAAGCTGTGGCTACAAGCCGTGGCTACAAGCTGTGGCTACAAGCCGTGGCTACAAGCCGTGACTACAAGCCGTGGCTACAAGCCGTGGCTACAAGCTGTGGCTACAAGCTGTGGCTACAAGCCGTGGCTACAAGCCGTGGCTACAAGCCGTGGCTACAAGCTGTGGCTACAAGCCGTGGCTACAAGCTGTGGCTACAAGCTGTGGCTACAAGCCGTGGCTACAAGCCGTGGCTACAAGCCGTGGCTACAAGCCGTGGCTACAAGCTGTGGCTACAAGCCGTGGCTACAAGCCGTGGCTACAAGCCGTGGCTACAAGCCGTGGCTACAAGCCGTAGCTACAAGCCGTGGCTACAAGCCGTGGCTACAAGCTGTGGCTACAAACCGGGGCAACAAGCTATGGCTACAAACCGGGGCTACAAGCTGTGGTTATAAACCAAGGCTACAAGCCATGGCTACAAGCCGTGGCTACAAGCCGTGGCTACAAGCTGTGGCTACAAGCCGTGGCTACAAGCCGTAG